TCACTCATCCACCCAAATTTACTCACCAATCCATAATCACTGACCCTCCCATATTCACTCACCCACACAAACAGACACATTAACTCACCCAACCACATTCACTCACCCACCCGCACACACACACCCAGCAACATTCACTCAATCACTCACCCTCCAACCCCCCTAAATTCACTCACCAACCCAAATTAACTCAACCACCCACCCACCCAAATTCACTCAACCACCCATCCACCCTAATTCACTCAACCACCCACCCACATTCACTCAATCACTCATCAACACACAGTCACTCAAACACTTACCCACCCACAATCACCCACCCACATTCACCCACATAGCCACTTTCACTCAATCACTCACCCATCCATTTTCACTCAATCACACACCCATCCACTTTCACTCAATCAATCACCCACCCACATTCACTCCATCACTCACCCACCAACCTATCCACATATCACTCACCCACCCCATACACTCAATCACTCACCCACCCTATTCACTCAATTACTCAACCACCCACCCACCCACATTCTCTCACCCACCCACATTCATTCAACCACTCACCCACCTACCCACATTCACTCAATCATTCACCTAGCCACATGCACTCAATCACTCACCCATCCACAATCACCCACCCACATACCCACTTTCACTCAATCACTCACCCATCCACAATCACCCACCCACAAACCCACTTTCACTCAATCCCTCACCCATCCACAATCACCCACCCACAAACCCACTTTCAATCAATCACTCACCCTTTCACAATCACCCACCCACATACCCACTTTCACTCAATCACTCACCCATCCACAATCACCCACCCACATACCCACTTTCACTCAATCACTCATCCATCCACAATCACCCACCCACATACCCACTTTCACTCAATCACTCATCCATCCACAATCACCCACCCACATACCCACTTTCACTCAATCACTCACCCATCCACAATCACCCACCCACATACCCACTTTCACTCAATCACTCATCCATCCACAATCACCCACCCACATACCCACTTTCACTCAATCACTCATCCATCCACAATCACCCACCCACATACCCACTTTCACTCAATCACTCATCCATCCACAATCACCCACCCACATACCCACTTTCACTCAATCACTCACCCATCCACAATCACCCACCCACATACCCACTTTCACTCAATCACTCATCCATCCGCTTTCACTAAATCACTCACCAACACACATTCACTCAATCACTCACCCATCCACTTTCACTCATCCAACAACTCATACTCACCTACCGACCCACATGCATCACTCATCTACCCATCCACCCACCCATATTCACTCATCCACCCACACTCATTCACTCATCCACCCACACTCATTCACCCACCCACATTGATTCGACCCGAGAAGGTCCTGGGTAGACTAAGTCTGCAACAACCCATGCTGTCGCAAGAGGCGACAGACTCGATTATATACAGACCGCCGTCAAATAGCTGGAATATTTCTGAATGTGGCGTTAAACAACAAACAAACATGCATTCACTCACTCACTCAGCAACCCACATCCACTCACCCTTCCCCCACTCACTCACTCAACGAACCGCCTACATTCACTCACCCACCGAATCGCTCGGTGAAGATCCTTGTAAGAATAGGTCTTCAGCAACCCATGTTTGCCATAATTTTAATGCGTGTATGCTTGTAAGAGGCGACTAACGGGATCGGGTGGTCAGACTCGCTGACTTGGTTGATACATATCCTCGTATCCCAATTATATGGATCGATGCCCATGATATCAATCACTGGGTTGTCTGGTCCAGACTCGATGACAGCCGAAATATTGTTGAATGCGGCGTTAAACAACAAACAAACAAACAAACAAACAAACAAACAAACAAAAACATAGAAACAACCGGTGAACAGTCTGTATGTGGAAGCTGGTGAACAACGCCGCATTGAACTATCACTGCAATGCATCACTAAATTGCATTAAAATCAGTCAAACACAGCATCATCGTGTTTTAAATTGCATAATTGTGTGAAAACCTGTTTTGAAATTGATCACACCTGGTTCCACCAATTAGAATCGGAATTCAACCACACATCACTCTGCTAAAATAGATCTAAATATCATATCACCCTCCCGACTTCTGTCTTCTCCTCCCTGGCAGATGGTTAAGCCAGAGGTAGACCGCACTCTCACCCAACTCAAAAAGTCTGAAACAATTCCTTTGGTTTATCAACAAGAATATAACCAATAACGAACAAAATATATTTCTCATTGATCCATTTTACAGGCGGGTCCAAGGATGCTGGCAAAGTTTCAAGTGTCGCTGTCATTGGATCCAAAACTGTTTACTCAAAAATCCCAGATAATAATTCAATCTTACTGCAGAGGCCAGAGCTATGTTAACAGCTTTGACCTACATTAAACAACAGAACCATTGTAAAAAAAACATCTTCCTTTCAGAATCCTTGTCTTGCCTTCAGGCACTTAAGAGTGTCTCCACAAATCAGCCTATAATCCTTGAAATTTTAGAACTGAATAATAATCTTTCTACTGGTCAATGTGACATCGTCGTTTGCTGGTTACCAAGTCATGTAGGCATTATAGGTAACTCAAAAGCCGATGCTGCAACTAGAACAGCTCTTGACAAACCGTTATCTCCACCACTGATCCCGTACAGTGATTTCAAACCAACCATCAAGTTATCGGGACCTTATGCAAAAAAGTGGGAAACTCAGGTAGGAATCAATAAACTTCATGAATTTAAACCAACAATCGGTCATACCTACTTGGGTCAGGAAATGACGAGGTCGCTCTGCGACGATGTCGTATTGGCCACAGTCGGTTTACACACGAATATCTGCTTAAAACAGACGAGGACGAACCTCCTAAGTGTATCCCTTGTGATGAAAGGTTCACCGTCAAACATATTTTGTCTGGAATTTGCAATTGCAAGGTATTCCCATCATCAAACAGTAAATTTGACGGATTATTTTCCCGTGTGAGTTGGCATCTGACCCTAAGCTGCTTGAAAGAATTGGTCAGTATCATACATTTTACATAGGAATAACAAATTGCCTTTTTTAAATTTGGTGTGATGCTTTTATCAACATAAATTATAGACCATTCTGTCCAGGGATTTAAATACCGTAAAATGATTGACCCCCCTGTGTGACACGTAATTAGTATCATAATCAATGTAACTTGAGCATTGGCTAGTATTGAGCACAACGACCAGTGGCTAAGGTGATGACGTAAAGCCTGCTGTGATGTCCCGCAGGAAGCAGGTCCCATGATCTCCAGTTGGGGTGACTATTGGTCTGGAAATCACTATTGCGATAACTATTGATATTGAAAGAAACTATTGCGATAACTATTGATATTGCAAGCAACTATTGCGATACATCTCGATAGTTTTCAGTGTATCGTTTGAGATGGATTTTAGAGTTGAATTAAGTTTTCTTTGAATGTGATAACCATAACAACAAATAAAAAGTAAAGTTTGAGATATGACTGATTTGTTTTTTCTTTAACCTATTGATTTAAGAATGAGAAACTTTAACATTACCATGTGTAAATTGCTACCACTCATGATCAAAAGAAAAACAAATTTGAACAGCATTGCATGTATTTTATTGAAACTGTAAAACCATCGAAACTATCGATATTCCTAATTGAAATCGATACTATTGATCGGAAACTGATTTAACAATCGATTTATTGACTTTAAGTGCTTACCAATAGCGATATATCGATATTTCGATTTATCGTGACACCCCTAATCCCCAGCGAGGTGACCTAGCTTCGGTTGCTGGTGGCTTGTTGTCCGTGATTTGGACTGTTGTAGATTATATTTTTATGTTAAAACATGATTGGCAAATCTGCATATAAATAAAGCTTTTCATTTATGACGCTCTTATATATGTATAGTGGTATATATATCAATTGTTCTCGTCGCCATATCGCTGAAATAATGCCGATATGACAAAAAATGTTAACTCCATCACTTATTGTGACATGACTGATTTTTGTCTGTGGCGTGGGTCAGTGTGCCCTGAAAGATGGGGTGGGTGAATGTGCCCTGATGTGCCCTGAAAGATGGGGTGGGTGAATGTGCCCTGATGTGACCTGAAAGATGGGGTGGGTGAATGTGCCCTGATGTCGCCTGATGACGTCTGTCATTGTACCCTGATGACGTGGGTCATTGTACCCTGATGACGCGGGTCATTGTACCCTGATGACGCGGGTCATTGTACCCTGATGGCGTGGGTCATTTTACCCTGATGACGTGGGTCATTGTACCCTGATGACCCTAATGTCGTGGGTCATTGTACCCTGATGACGTGGGTCATTGTACCCTGATGACGCGGGTCATTGTACCCTGATGACGTGGGTCATTGTACCCTGATGACGCGGGTCATTGTACCCTGATGACGTGGGTCATTGTACCCTGATGACGCGGGTCATTGTACCCTGATGACGTGGGTCATTGTACCCTGATGACGCGGGTCATTGTGCCTGATAGCCTGTGCATGGTGCGGGGTGTGGCGGTAAACAACATTCAATCATCCTCACGCAATCCAAAATATGATAGTATCCCACCTCTAACCTCAACGAAATTGAACAATACCTTTTCCACACGAGGGGTGCATGTGTGTGTGTGTGTGTGTGTGTGTGTGTGTGTGTGTGTGTGTGACTGATGCCGATTTATAGTGCCAGCTCACTGAGATACCATGCCGCAGTTTAACATGCATACCCACTAAGACACAGTATCCTGACTCCGAGCCGACCAGTCCTGGTTTAGCACCTTAATGCCAAGCGCCAGACAGGGTAACAACAAGTACCATCTTTTAACGTCTTTTGATATGACACTTCCGGGAATCGAACCCCGGACCTCCCGCTCTCCGGACGGACGCTCTTCCACTAGACCAAGGAAGCGGTCCAAACATATTTGGAAAAGCATTGGCATTTGTTGTAAATATAACAGAAAATGATTCAGTCTTGCAAAATTTATTTGTCAGCCTCTAAGGTCAGCGCCTGAAACAGGAGAAATACTCTGAAACACATGTGACACAACATTGAAATATCATGCATTGCGTCTTGCCTATGTGAACAATTGCAACGGACGGTGGGGTAGCCTAGTGGTTAAAGCGATAGACCCCGGGTTCGATTCCCGACATGGATAAAAAGTGTGAAGTCCATTTCTGGTATCCCCCGCCATGATATTGCTGGAATATTGCTAAAAGCGGCGTAAAACCAAACTCACACACTCACTAAAGCGATAGCCTGTCCAACATGAGAACAATGTGTGAGGCCCGTGCTTTGTGCTATCGCGATGTACATGTCTGTAACTGCGTACACCTCACTCACTCACTCACTCCGTATTGCAACCGTTAAGATCCGGCTGAGAATGGGTCTTCAGAAACCAAAGCCCGTCCTTTTTATTAGATGAACGGGTTTCAAAGTTGGAAAAGTTGGCAAAGTTTAGTGCCAAATGATTACGTATCAGTGCTACTAAATACAAGACATTAACACGTACTGACATGCTATTGAACGCGTTACAGCGACACCCATTTAATCCAGGTAAAAAAAATTATACTCTCTCTCTCTCTCTGTCTCTCTGTCTCTCTCTCTCTCACTCTGTCTGTCTGTCTCTCTCTCTCCATAGGGGCGGTCGGGTAGCCTAGTGGTTAAAGTGTTGGCTCGACACGCCAAAGATCCCGTGTGGAACCCATTTCTTGTGTCCCCCGCCATGATATATTGGAATATTGCAAAAAGCGGCGTAAAACCTCTCTCTCTCTCTCTCTCTCTCTCTCTCTCTCTCTCTCTCTCTCTCTCTCCATAGGGGCAGTCGGGTAGCCTAGTGGTTAAAGCGTTGGCTCGACACGCCAAAGATCCCGTGTGGATCCAATTTCTGGTGTCCCCAGATATTGGAATATTGCTAAAAGCGGCGTAACCCCCCCCCCCCCCTCTCTCTCTCTCTCTCTCCATACCACTGTCCGCCATGCGTCTGTGTTCAGCTGCTGTTGGTTGAAGCTCTCTCTCTCTCTCTCTCGCTCTCTCTCTCTCTCTCTCTCTCTCTCTCTTGCTCTCTCTCTCTCTCTCGCTCTCTCTCTCTCTCTCTCTCTCCATACCACTGTCCGCCATGCGTCTGTGTTCAGCTGCTGTTGGGTGAATCTCTCTCTCTCTCTCTCTCTCTCTCTCTCTCTCTCTCTCTCTCTCTCTCCATACCACTGTCCGCCATGCGTCTGTGTTCAGCTGCTGTTGGGTGAAGCTCTCTCTCTCTCTCTCTCTCTCTCTCTCTCTCTCTCTCTCTCTCTCTCTCTCTCTCTCTCTCTCTCTCCATACCACTGTCCGCCATGCGTCTGTGTTCAGCTACTGTTGGGTGCAGCCTCCTCCAGGACCATCCTCCCACACTGGCAGTGGTTGCTGTTCCTCCTGCTCGGCTGTTGTGCTTGAAAACATAGCAAGTGTAAACCATACTCATTCGTGACCAACTCGTGTTATTCCGGGACAAGCCGAATAGCGACTCGTGCCCCTCGCATGGCCATTTTTGCGACCGGGTTCCGTCTTAGCGCAAACGGGCATACCTAAAATAATTGTCAACTCGCCGCGTTATAGTTCACATATATTTTCCCATATATTATATATATTTCAGATGCAATTTAAAGCACATCTGGACACGCGGAATATACAGTATGATTGAACACATTTAACTGTGCCTTGGGTATATATTTAGATGGAGGACATGTAAAATCAAAAATTATTTCTGAGGAATTCTTTGACGAATAACTTGAAGTTATACGCGCATTCTGATTGGTTTGTCGTATTTTCGCACATAACATTCGTCGATAGGGGGACGAGTGTTCTTGCAGGTTACGGAAAGAGGGGAGTGGTGACGAATGAAACCATACTGTCACTGCTGAAAAGTTCGTCACCTCAATATCATGATAACCGTATTATATGATATCTAATACCAGCACATTTTCATTTTTAATATAATTTTATTACATTTCATGAAATCATAATAAATAAAATATTCGCACCGTATTTTAATTTATTATTTTTTTAAATGGTATGTCCCTAATGGGCTTTCGTAGTTTTTAAGAGGCCCTGTCCCGTTATAGGCCAGTCTGCACGTACCTGCACGCTCCGCTGCTGCCAGCAACTGCTCCTTGTTGATCAGACCGTCTCCTAAAATAAATAAATAAATAAATAAATAAATAAATAAATAACCAGACAATCCAGTGATTTACATCATGAACATCGATCCACGCAATTGGGATCGATGACATGCATCAACCAGGTCAGCGAGCCAGACCACCCCGATCCCGTTAATCGCCTCTTACGAGAAGCACAGTCGCTTTTTACAACAAGCATGGGTTGCTGAAAGCCTATTCTACCCCGGATCTTAACGGGTCCCACGAAATACTAACAAGTGCATAGATCGATGGTCATGATGTCAATCACTTCATCGTCTGGTCCTGATTCGATTATTTACAGACCGCCTTCATATAGATGGATTAACAAAACAAACAAAATTGACAAAGTCACCCTCGAATATCCAGTGTATCATATCTCCCTTCTATATCGTTCATATCATTTGGACCCACACCACAGCTTCGTTTCTAAAGTGTCGTCACCAGCTTAGCACAGAATTTCTCTCGCTCATGCGCTAAAAATCAGCATCCAATGAAAATCCCTCTTCTGAACGAGGTTTCGGCATAGATCTGCATTCAAGTCGCGTCCTCGTGCGAGCGAGCCCTCGATATAAATTATACCTAACTAATAAGAAGCCTGTTTAAATAAGCTTTAGACTATTTTTCTGAACACAAAGAACGCAACGAGACTATTGGAATTCAGGAGATCTATATGGCAGCTTGTTTCAGTCACGAAATAATACTGTAATTTGACTGGACGTCTATTTTTAGCGTCCGGTCACATTCGTAACCAACTCGTGTTATTCCGGGACACGCCGAATCTTCTTGCAGGTTACGGAAAGGGGCGAGTGGTGACGAATGCGTCCGGTCATTCGAACTGGACTCAAAACGAGGCTGTATTGGCGAATGGCACCAGGGTAGTTATCAAAATAAAATGAGGATATAGAATATCGAGGATGTGGCGATGTATAACAATTGGAGGATAAGGATATTTTTTCCTTTACCGGAAATAAGTCACGAATGCCAGCAAGCTCCTCGCAGCGATAGCCCGTTCGCGGAGCTCTCTATACCGAGAGTGTAACGAAGGTGTCACGCGCTGGGAAGGAGCTTGGAATGCCAGTACTGGTCGCCATTACGGGTTTCATTAAAAAGTGCAACTTCGGAGTGGAAATTAAAATTTAAAACAAACCGAAATCAGGCAGAATTTCTCATTCTAAACATATTTACGTTTGTCCATTGAGTTCTGCATGAATTCCTCCAGAAGCGGGTCATCTTCATCAACATCAAGAATGGTTGAAACTTCACGTCTGCCCAAACGTCGTTGAGATTTCAAGACATCCTTTAGCAGCTTGATGATGTCAGCGTGAATCTTGTTGCAGTGGCAGTTGTTGGTGATGTCGGTTCTACGGACATGGTACCGCCGCCGCCGACGCCGCCGCCCAAAAAGCCATCCTTCGCCTTCCTCTGGGATGAGCATCAGCACCACCATCAGCAGGACCAGTGTCGGGCGCAACATCATCATGCAAGAAACTGTATCAGGCTTTATGGGACCGACCATTGATTTATTTACTAACTTTTCTTGATTAAAATTATCTTTTAATTTTTTTTTAAAATACTCGTCTTAGGAACACCCTAATTATGTAATATTTTTGCATACGAATACCTAATATTTTTAATAACCTCATACCCGATGATAAATTACCAATCTCTAATAATGTTAATATTTAAAATCAACTGTGTCATCTTTTCATGCACTTACCCCTCCCTCCCCTAAAAGTTGTGACACGTGAAGATATGGACTAGGTCTTCAGCAACCCATGCTTGCCGTAAAAGGCGACTCAGATTGACGAAAGAAGCGACTCACGGGGTTGGGTGGTCAGGCATGCTGACTTGGTTGATGCATGTCATCGATCCCAATCGATGCTCATGATATCAATCACTGGACTGTCTGTTCCAGACTTGATTATTTACAGACCGTCGTCATATAGATGGAATATAGCTGAGTGCGGCGTTAAACAACAAACAAACCAACAAACCTAAAAGGTGTTCCTTTGGCGATCCGCTCTTTCAATGTCATATGTTTTGTTTCCAACTCTATGTTACCAAGCAACAAAAGCAATGTGTTTGATCTTACGTAAGGCACGTTTAAACAATCTCTCTTTACAATGTCAACTCTATCTCTTTCATGCTATGGTAAAACCAATACTACTGTATGGATGTAAAATATTGGATTATGTCCATTAATTGAAATATTTATGTACTATTTCAGTTATTACCGGTAAAGTGAGTGAGTTGGGTTTAACGCCACTTTTAACAGTATTCCAGTTATATCACGGCGTGTCAGCTTAATGTGGGAGGAAAGCCCGAAGTGATGCAGGTCTCAGACGTTTACTACTTCAGTGAAACCCACGAGCACTGGTATGGTGCTGACAAACTTAAAAACATAATCGGGGCGAACCGGGATTCGAACGCAACTCTGCACAGCCAATCTCGGCGCCTTAGGCAACTGGGCCACCTGTGACCCCTTACCGGTAAAGCAAAGCACACTTTTAACAATGCATTATGGTGAACTATGGTATTCAGTTTTGTACAAAGACTCAGTTATTAATCAACGGACCATCTTCCCGAGGCAAGGGAATTAACTGACTATAAAAGTCCAGTTTCCACCCTTGGCGAACTAGGCTGGAATTCCGGAGTTAGTTTGGCTGGACTAACGAGTCTATGCAGCCTCCTGCATTACCCAGATTGTCAGAAGGGCTGAATTCCTGGTAGCAAACCCGGATACTCTCTCAATGATCAACAACTTGAAATCATAAGCGCTTTCTGATTGGTTTGTCGTATTTTCGCACACAACATTCATCGATATGGGGACGAGTCTTCTTGCAGCTTACGGAAAGGGGCGAGTGGTGACGAATGCAAAGAGGGTTTGGGTGATCCTGGCACAAGTCAGGCTGGTTAGGCTCATTATCCTCCACTAGCTCCCCCCCCCCCCCCGGCGAATTTTGTATTTATCATGTTCCATGACGCCCTCTACATATTCTGGGTCGTACCATGGATGGACCTCCTTGTCAAAACCACAAGCATTGCGAAGACGGAAATTAAATGATTGAGCTACACCATCATGTCGCTTAAGATACTAAGTTTGTGCTATTATTATTAATTATCATAATACTTATCATTGTTGTTATTATTGTTGTTGTTTTACGCCACACTCAGCAATATTCCAGCTATGTGACGGCGGTCTGTAAATAATCGAGTCTGGACCAGACAATCCAGTGATTGATATCATGACGATCGATCGGCGCAATTGGGATCGATGACATGAATCGACCAAGCCAGCGAGCCTCACCAGCCGATCACGTTAGTCGACTTTTACGACAAACAGTCGCCTTTAACGGCAAGCATGGGTTGCTGAAGACCTATTCTACCCCGGAATCTTCACGGGGTAGTAGTAGTAGTAGTAGTAGTAGTAGTAGTAGTAGTAGTAGTAGTTACATGTAGAGCTAGCTTGCAAGGTCAACACAGTTCAACACATGTGTAGTTATATCTACAAGTAATGTATCTCTACATTGAACACACAGTATGAACAAGCAAACAAATATCAATCACTGGGTATCACAACAAACATATTTCTTAGATTTTTAAAAAAATGGCATACTTACGTGTTGGTTCCCCGTGGACACTGTGCTACCGAACAGTCTCCCTGCCTGATTTATACCATAAAAGGTGTCTCAGTTTGGTGGTGTAGGTGAAAGAACAACAGGTGTTTTAATGGGACATCCTCTTCAGAAACATAATCTGAACGTATAATCTCGAAACCCTATCTTTCCGCAACAGCCCGAGGTTGGACTCGGATTCAGCCGTTGAAATGAAGTTTGTTGGTTGGTTTGTTGTTTAACGCCGCACTCAGCAATATTCCAGCTATATGACGGCGGTCTGTAAATAATCGAGTCTGGACCAGACAATCCAGTGATTAACATCATGAACATCGATTGGGATACGATGACATGCAACAACCAAGTCAGCGAACCTGACCACCCAATCCCGTTAGTCGCCTTTTACGGTAAGCATAGGTTGCTGAAGACATATCCTACCCCGGATCTTCACGGGCCGTTTCGCCAATGTTGTAATATCTAGGACCTGCATTACTTTGGCCTTCCTTGACACACCGTGATATAAATTTATGTCCAAAAGAAACGATACCAATTATGTTGTTAAATATTTGTGTTATAAGTGCTTTATTTACTATGAGGACCGCCTCCGTGGTCTAGTGGTAGAGCGTCCGCCCAGAGAGCGGAAGGTCCGGGGTTCGATCCCCGACCGCGTCATGCCAAAAGATGGTACTTGTTGTTACCCTGTCTGGCGCTCGGCATTAAGGGGCTTAAACAAGGACTGGTCGCCTCGGAGTCAGTATACTGTGTCTGAGTTGGGTATTCATGTTAAACTGCCGCATGGTATCTCAGTGAGCTAGCACTATAAATCGGCATCAGTCCGGTCTAGTACAAGCAGACAAACACACACGTGCATGCACGTCGCTATATAAGTGCAATAATCTTGGACGCGACGTTAAACCCCATTTCACCTCACCTCACCTATTTTCTATGAAAACATACTTAAACATATCTCACGTACCATGCCAAATGTAATCGATGGGAAAAAGCGGGAAAATTTGACAATTGACAGTTTAGGAGCAACATCCAGCAACAGCCCCGAGGAATCAGTTTCCAGCACTACGATGCGACGACGCACACGGCATGGTTGACGCAGAACTTCCTTAACAAAGCGAACATTCAGGTTTTATCATGGCCGTCATGCTCGCCGGACATGAGTGAGTGAGTGAGAGAGTTGGGTTTAACGCCGCTTTTTAACAGTATTCCAGTTATATCGCTTAATGTGAGAGGAAAGCCCGAAGTGATGCAGGTCTCAGACGTTTACCACTTCGGTGAAACCCACGAGCACGGGTATGGTGCTGACAAACCTAGAAACATAATCGGGGCGAACCGGGATTCGAACCCACAATCATAGGTTTCTGGCGGTGAAACCCACGAGTACGGGGGCGGTGGGGTAGCCTAGTGGTTAAAGCGTTCGCTCGTCACGCCGAAGACCCGGGTTCGATTACTAACATGGGCACAATGTGTAAAGCCCATTTCTGGTGTCTCCCGCCGGGATATTGCTGGAAAATAGCTAAAAGCGGCGTAAAACCATACTCACTCACTCACTGTCCCATGAACATGTTGAAGGTAGAACGAAATTAAGAGAAATAAGGCGAGAAACAATCTCATGAAAATCAGATCTTAGTTCTCGCTGCCGCTAAACAAAGATCTGAGGACATCCCATTACGGGTCACGTCAGACCGACCTTTCGCAAACTCTGACCGACCAATGGAATTACTGACAAGAAGTCGACATTAGCCAATCAGAAGGCAGCTTTCTCGTGCTTTACGGCGCTAATTTCAAATTGGCGACTACACTTTGAAACATATTTTGACAAATTCTCGCTTAAAAAAATGAAACCTGAACAAAAGAACATTCTCGAATAGCTATTATATGGTCTAGAATGTATGGATTCAGTCGTTAAGCCCGTAACTATCGTTCGGAATACCCCGTTTTAAGGTGTTCGAGGCTGCATGATTAGAAGTCACATTCCGACTGTCACTTTCATGATCTGGTAAGCTCTGATTGGTCGGATGAAAGGTCGTTCTGACGTGACCCCTAATGGGATGTCCTCAGATCTTTGTTTAGCGGTAGCGAGAACTAAGATCTGATTTTAATGAGATTGGGCGAGAAATTCCCTCCCCCCCCTCCCACACACCCCCCCCCCCCCCTGCCTCCCCTCCCCCCCCCCCCCCCCCCCCCCCCCACACACACACACACACACACACACACACACCCATCCCTAACTCCCTCACTCACTCGACATCACTGCACCGACCTATGCTTTGGTGCATGGCGCTGATGTTATACGAGAAGCGATGGCGCTGTCGGCGTGTAACTTCCTTGTACAAGGTGTCGCTTCACTCGCTGATAACGCGACAGGTGTGCACCTGCACCTGGCTCAATGACGTCACAGAGTCCGACTCACAGTAGCGGGTTTTGTAAAGCGAAGCGAGCTTACGTTGTTTCAAAATCAATATCCAGTTAATAACAGATATATACCACACCGACGTATAAAGATCAATTTTTAATTTTTAGATTTATGTTCCTCGCTGTTTTTTAGGATATCCATTTAATTATAAATTTTGGCAAAAAAAATTAAAACATATTTTCACGGTATATTCTGAATTTGTTGAGTAATTATAGCAATATATTTTAATGAATAAGTTGTGAGAGTAAAAATTTAACATCACCTCGGTAATATATCAACCATTTCGTGACGAGAAGAATTTACAAATTAATAATACATAAATGAAACTACAGAAAACGTATCGAAAAAGAACGCTTAGATAAAAACACTATTACAGTTACGACCCGTGAAGATCCGGGGTAGAATAAGTCTTCAGCAACCCATGCTTGCCTTAGAAGGCGTGTCGGAAAAGGCGACTAACGGGATCGGGATGTCAAGCTTGCTGTTATGGTTTTTATGTCATCGTATCCCAACTGCGCAGATCGGTGATCATGATGTCAATCACTTGATAGTCTGGTCCAGACTCGATTATTTACAATGCGGCGTTAAAGAACAAACAAACAAATATTACAGATATAGATTATTAAAACTAGTGTGTACCCACTGAATATGACTTCATGACTAATGAAACAGTAACATTATTAAGTCTTTAAGTAATATTACAACTTCAAGTAGTAATATTATGAAACCGTAGAATAATAAATATTCTGGTTGAATTGGTAATACTACTGGGATAATTGGTAATACATTACGGAATAATACTCAAAACTATATTTCAATAAACAATATTACATCGTCGAATTGTTAATAATTACTTAAAGATTTGGTAATATTACTTTGCAAACTGGTATTGTATTACGGAATATTACTAAATGTTACACTTCTATTAGTAATATTATAAAATCGTCGAAATATCAATCTTATTGACTTCTAATATTATTTGATAAATTGGTAATGCACATTAGGATATTACCAAAACTTATACTGATATTAATAGTAATATTATTAAATCGTAGAATTATGAATATTCTGAATGAATTGATAATATTACTGGGGGGGTTGGCAATGCATTACGAAATAATACTCAAAATAATATTTCAATAAGAATTATTGATAATTACGGAAAGAATTGGTAATATTACTATATGAACTGGAATCGTATATTTCGGAAAATTACTAAATTGTATACTTCAATTAGTAATATTATGAAATCGTCGAAATATTAATATTTCTAGCTGAATTAAAAGATTATTTGATTAATTGGTAATGCACTGTGGAATATTACTTACAATTATACTTTAATATTATGAAGGGGCGGTCGGGTAGCCTAGTGGTGAAAGCGTTCGCTCGTCACCCCGAAGACCCGGGTTCGATTCCCGACATGGGTACAATGTGTGAAGCCCATTTCTGGTGTCCCCCGCCGTGATATTGCTGGAATATTGCTACAAGCTAATATAATGAAACTGTCGAATTGTTACTATGATATACCCTATAAGAAACCATGTCATTTGCCGGACAAAAGAAAGGTGAGGTGAAATGGGGTTTATAACGTCGCGTCCAAGATTATTGCACTTATATAGCGACGTGCATGTACGTGTGTGTGTGTGTGTGTGTGTGTGTGTGTGTGTTTGTGTGGCTGCTTGTACTAGTCCGGACTGATGCCTATTTATAGTGCTAGCTCACTGAGATAACATGCGGCAGTTTAACATGAATACCCCACTCAGACACAGTATACTGACTCCGAGGCGACCAGTCCTTGTTTTAGCCCCTTAATGCCGAGCGCCAGACAGGGTAACAACAAGTACCATCTTTCAACGTCTTTTGGTATGACGCGGTTGGGGGTCGAACCCCAGACCTTCCGACTCCGGGCGGACGCTCTACCACTAGACCACGGAGGCGGTCGACAGAAGAAAGTGTGCATTCGAAAATTGGAATTGAAATTGCGATCCCCATGTTCTGTGAGACGTCATGTGCACGTGACCTGGTGTGAGATACTCATTGATATCATACGAGGCCATCAAACATGGGTGCATAATTTTTTTAAAACCGTGAAGATCCGGGATTTGGATAGTATACTATTTTGGATTTTTAAAATGAACATCGACAGTTAGATATTTTACTTCATTTCAATGGACCCGTGAAGATTCCGGGATAGAATAGGTCTTCAGCAACCCATGTTTGCCGTAAAAGGCAACTAACGGGATCGGGTGGTCATGATCGCTGACTTGGTTGATGCATGTCCTCGATCCCAATTCCTGAGTGCGGCGTTAAACAACAAACAAACAGTCGTATCCCAATTGCGTAGATGCTCATGATGTCAATCACTGGATTGTCTGGGACAGACTCGATTATTCACAGATCGCCGTCATATATAGCTAGATTATTACTGACCAAACAAACAAACAAAACTTTCTCTTGCCGGCAATTTAAAGTGACATTTTATCACAGTTTTACATGAATAATGATCATGATTATTATTATAATGCTCAAATGACAATAACTGGCATGGCGATTTAGCGGACATCCCGGAAACTACGTGCAGTACACAGGGTTATCTGGATAGATTTTTTTATTTTTTTTTAAATACCAAATATCCAGGCCACAACGTCTGCATTGGCGAGATGAACTTCCTTGTGTAACATCCACTGGTATCACTGGGTATGTCAGCACCATACCCGTGCTCGTGGGTTTCACCGAAGTGGTAAACGTCTGAGACCTGCATCACTTCGGGCTTTCCTCCCACATTAACCTGACACGCCGTGATATAACTGGAATACTGTTAAAAGCGGCGTTAAACCCAACTCACTCACTCACTCTACTGGTATTGATCAGGTACCCGTGAAGATCCGGGGTAGAATAGGTCTTCATGCAGGTACCCATGCTTGCCGTAAAAGGCGACTATAACGGAATCGGGTGGTCAGGCTCGCTGACTTGGTTGATGCATGTCATCGTATCCCAATCCACAGGTTAACGTGTGTCATATTTCGAGGCATTCGTGACAGCTCATGTTATTCCGGGACAAGCAGGTTACGGAAAGGGGCGAGTGGTGACGAATGCAGCTCCATTTTGTGTCCCGTGCGTTAACCACTGAAGGCGTAAATATGATTATGCTACAATGAAATAACAACATAGAATATGTATTGGTGTCTCCTAAGGCTATTGCCTTTTTTTGAGAAACATGCCTCCGTTCACCCAGCAGTGAAGGGGTACCCGGTAGGTAGGAATGGTATGTGACTAAGCTCAGAATAAAAATCGTGTGCATCCTATTGACCGTTAAAATAATGGTTAAATGATCTTTGAGCATACTGAGTTCAGCGCTAATATTATAAAGCCTAATTTTTATTTGAATTGATATAAATTCCGCTCATTTGGGGAAATACATATACCGTATTCGACGTAATAAGCGCCCAGGGCGCTCTCAAAATTATAAATAGGGGGCGCTTATTAGATTATTATTTTGAGTTGAAAGATCGTTAATTTCGTGGTTTATGCAAACATCCTGAAATGTTTACATACCACAGATAAATTTTTCAAGAATTTAATTGCCCATAATTAAGGGTGATATAACACACGAGTGCGTAATATGCGCGAATAAATAAGTCTTGCGTACATTGATCAATCGGAAGGGGTGCTGATTGGGATTGTTCACTAGCCAATATATTAGCAAATATCGCCGTGGGCGCTTATTAGAGCGGGGCGCTTATTACGTCGAATACGGTAATTAGAATATTTCCAAAGAGACGAATCGCTGGTCCAGCGCTGATCTGTCCAAAATATTGAACAAAAGAACGCAACAACGCCAACAGCAGGCGCGTAATTTTAGAGACAAAGATCACTGTCGACATTGTCCCAGCAGAGAAGGGATATCCCTGTTCTAAAAATAGAGACAAAGTGGGTCAGATCTTCTCATTGAAATCGTTTCGCGCCAAGAATAACCCATCTCGTCCTTTCACGCGAGATTTAGAATGTAAGGAAAATGGCGGCACACAAAGCAGAGTGTTGACCAAATTTCCACTTATAGATTCATCAGTCGGATTTTATGAGGACTTATTGCAAGGAAAGGACATCGTGTACATGAGAAAAGAAAAGTTGTCATCGGATTTTCGCAATATGGCAAGAAGATCGCATATATGTGCGAAATGCATTGCTGTCGCCCGCCTTCGTATTCGTGATGATGTCGCGGCTCTGTTTTAATTCCAATCTTTCTGCGTGAAACGCATTTTTAAGTTACTGGTACTTTGTTGACATTCATCATGGCAGGGAAAGAATACAAGCCAGGAGATAAAATATTTGCCAAAATGAAAGGCTACCCACATTGGCCGGCGAGGGTAAGTTTCTAAAAACGGAAATGATGTTCCGTGTCGCAAGGGACTTCCTGTTCGCTGACACCACGTGTGTAGTGGACATGTGGTTTCTGAAACCGAGCATCTAGTTGTCTTTATTTCTTGTTATACAACCAATGCCTGGTGTCATTATACTCGGGCTCTCCACCTAGACACTTCTTAGAGGCTGTCATTTGCAAAAACTTTTGTCAAGCCGAGTACTTGTGAGTTTCGTTTACACAAAAAAGTGAAAAACCCGCATTCGGTATTCGTAGATTATTCGTAGATTTTTTATGTTGCAATTGGATTAGAAAACAGTTGTTTGCATTCTTGAAATATCACCGCGTTTAACAGAAGACGCGGATGATGATTGGCCAATTCGAACCATTTCTAAATTTGTTTGTACAACATGAGGTGCCCTTGTATTTGAGCGATAAACGCCATGTGTTGATAATATATATATTTTATTTTTCAGATTGATGAACTCCCAGACGGAGCAGTAAAACCCCCCAAAGGAAAATATCCAATTTTCTTTTATGGTACACACGAAACGTAAGTCACTTGCGAGGACGGTAACTGTTGCCCTTCTTAAACTGCATCAACCCAAAGACCCCATTTATTAATTATTTATTGTACTTTAACGTTCCCGTATATGTGAACTTATTCATGTATATGTGGTTACAGAAAGTAGCTGTAAAAGGCCGAATGTGTTCATGTGTTACGAATTGATTTTGTTTTTTTTAGATCTTTGTGTACAGCTGTGAATCCCTGTTGGCGATATTATTGTACAGAAATCGTCAATATTTATATTATGTCACTGTTTTGCAAATCAAATTGTATCTATGAAATATTTATTCTACACAATTTTGAGAAAAGATTTTGTAATATATTGGTGGTAATTTCTGTACCATGAGCAGGGGCGGTCAGGTAGCCTAGTGGTTAAAGCACTAGCTCGTCACGCTGAAAACCCGAGTTTGATTCCCGTCATGGGTACAATGTGTGAAGCCCATTTCTCGTGTCCCCCGCTGTGATATTGCTAAAAGTGGCGTAAAACCATACTCACTCACTCACTCACTCACTGTACCATGAACATTTTGAAGGTAGACATACATTAAGAGAAATAAGGCGAGAAACAGGATCAGATGGTCAGGATTGCTGACATTGTTAGTACACACTCACGATGCCTATCTCTAGTTGAGGAGACTGTGTTTAACCATATTTTGTGATTGTGGCAGTGCGTTCCTGCTGCCGAAGGACATCTACCCATATGATGAGAACAAAGAAAAGTACGGGAAGAAGCATGCCAGGAAAGGTTTCAACGAGGGTCTCTTCGAGATCGAAAACAACCCAGATGTCAAGTTTAAAGCACCTGTGAGTAACGCTTGGGACATTGAGTCTCATCTGTATCGAAAACAAGTCTAAAATCAGTTACCGTATTCGATGTAATAAGCGCCCAGGGCGCTCTCAAAATTAGAAATAGGGGGCTCTTACTAGAATATTATTTTGGTGAAAAAAACTGAGTTGAAAGATAAATGAAATATTTATGTACGACAGATATATTTTTCAATAATTCATTTACCCATAATTAAGGGTGCATATAACACAGGAGTGCTTATTATACGCGAATAAATAGGTCTTGTTTACATTGATCAATCAGAAGGGGTGCTAATTGGGATTGTTCACTAGCCAATATCTTAGCAAATGGCACTGTGGGCGCTTATTAGAGCGGGGCGCTTATTACGTCAAATACGGTAATTGTAATCTTGACATAAACCATGGCTCGTTTGTCTTTGACCGTGCATTAACTAACTGAATTGTTGAACTTTTTTTTAACCATTTCATGAAAAAGTGTCGCCAGTGGGATTTCGAAACCACCAAATCTGAACCAGAGGCTAATAGGGATGTGCGGTTTTATCGGTATACCGGTTTATTGCAATACAAATTCATCACGATACGTATCGTGATACGTTTTTGGCGTATCAGTTTTTCCCTCATTATTCAAATTGTGACTGACATGTATATGCCATGATGTATAGTCTTACCTTATTAAATTAAAACAAAGACAAAACAAATGCTTCATACTCTTTATTTGATTGTAAATAAAAATAATAGTACAATTTATTAAAATTGGTTCATAATTTTGACCAAATTGTTAACATTGCAGCTTTCATATTAATATTTGTCAAAGGGATATGAAAAAAAGCTTTTCTCTTGGTAGAAATTATTTCCCAATATATTGCAATAATATTGCAATATGTTTTTGTCATATTGCAATATATCGCAATACACTTTTTGGTCCAACTCCCAACCCTAGAGGCTAACAAATGTAGTTTTCTACCATGGTAACATGGCAGCTGAATGTTTACATAAAATGGGATTGGCGAAATAGGATGGGAATTTTTACTCAGTGTCCAACCCAGAATTGAAATTCAAGGGAGACTTGTCCCCCCATCATGTAGAAAATAGGGGGGATTTTGAAAAAGTAGGGGGGGATAACTGCTTTCTTGAAAGATGTCTTATTTTGTATTATGTACTGGAACATCATCATATAAAAGTGTAACAGATCAGAATAAAGAACTGCTTTTTAGAATCACTAGGACCGGGATCGATTTCCCCTTCAGTTTGAGAAGTCATTACAGTGACTGTGGTTTCATCATTGTCTTTTTTAGAACATCTATTTTGATTAAAAAAGTCTGTAATGTTTTTGTTTTTGCGCGACATTTTCACTATCAAAAGATCGTATGCAATGACAGTCGGCGATTCATATTGTGTGATTTCAGAAATGAAACTAAAACGAACTAAAATGCTCAAAAATACTTCTAGAACTATTCAATATAGAATATTTATTTGTCTTTTAACATCTTGTCAAAGGTTTTTGATTACTAAACAACAAAATACAACATAATTTTGATCAAAGTTTTGATACACTTTCTACTAAACATGCTAAAGTACCGGTAAATTAAATTTCGTTTCCTATGCAAATCCTGTCTATAATTTATTCAGCAACCCAAGGGACGTATAACTCTTGTTTGAACTTCCGGTTATTATCGATCGGTTTTCGACAGTTGTCTACAATGTTTGCTGTGAACTGTCTTTCTTCGTTAATTGATTAAAGATTTAGTGAGTATTGAATCTAAAGGTAGGGATAAACAGCTGATAAAGTAAGTGACTGTACAAGAAATTACTGTGCGCGACTGATCGCGCTTTGAGGTTTTTTTAGGGGCGATTTGATTTTTTTTTTAGCGTGGATCGCGCAATCACGCGGTCTGGGTTGGACACTGTTACTTAGTTTAGTTACTATCTAAACATAGCGAAATCAGGTTAGGTGATTTTGTCAGATGGAAAACTTACAGGGCTGTTATCCCCATCCACCCCGAAACTTATGGAGATTTTTATCCGACATCCAACATTTGAACTGGTCCTTTAGAGCATGACTATAAACATTAGCCTCCAGATTAATTCAAGTGTGCTATGAGGCTGAACTTCATATCAAAATCAGCCGATTCTTTCTTGTAAGCTTACCATGTCGAATGTGGTACAACCTACAATTTCGAACATTTTGATGAGTTTATTTCCTGATAATTCATGTCTGGTGTTTCCATGGTAACAGACAAGTTCCGAGGAAGAGGAGGTGGAGGAGGAAGAAGAGGAGGAGCCTGAGCAGGAGGAAGTGAAGGAGAAGCCGGCCAAGCCCAAGAAGGCACAGGTACAAACACAAGTTGTTGACGACCTCGTGAAGATCTGGCTTAGAATTGGTCTTCAGCAACCTATGCTTGTCGTAACTTGTGAAAGGCGATAAACAGGAGCGGATGGTCAGGGTCGCTGATATAGTTGATGCATGTCGTAGACTGATGCTCATGTCAATCATTAGATTGTCTGGTTCAGACTCGATTAAAAGGTGACTATCGGGATCGGGTGGTCAGGCTAGCTGACTTGGTTGATGCATGTCATCGATCCCAATTGCGCGGATCGATGCTCATGATATAAATCACTGGATTGTCTGGTCCAGACACGATTATTTACAGGCCACCTTCATATGGCTGGAATATTCTGAATGCGGCATTAAACAAACACATTGTTGGACAAGGTTTCTTGCCCCTTGCAACCAGACATAAGATGTCACAGCTTCGCCTCCTTGCTTGGTGGTCCACGGAGGATGCATCCTCCTGAGGCAAGGGAGTTAACGGACTACAAAAGTGCAGTTTCCACCCTTGCAAAACTAGGCTGGAATTACAGCGTTACATTTTGGCTGGACTAACGAGTCTATGCATTGTCCAATCAAAATCGCGGTCCGTAAACTGCAGTGCTGATTTTGGTCTATTGCAGGATTTGCAACTCGGCGTCAACAGATATTTTACAACATATATTTTCCAAACCTTTTCATGTTTTTAATCAAGGTTGCTCACCTGAGTTCTCATGCACTTCACGAAGGGGGCACGGGTGGCCCAGTCGTCTGAGGCGCCGCGATTCGCTGTGCAGAGTTGCGTCCCTTGGGCATGCCAGAAACCTATGATTGTGGGTTCGAATCCCAGTTTGCCCCGATTGTGTTTCTAGGTTTGTCAGCACCATACCTGTGCTCGTGGGTTTCACCGAAGTGGTAAACGTCTGAGACCTGCATCACTCCGAGCTTTCCTCCCACATTAAGCTGACACACCGCGCTATAACTGGAATATTGTTAAATCAAACTCACTCACTCACTCATGCACTTCATGAAGTAAGACCTGTTTTGTTACAATATAGGTTATGGTTATCGATCAATTTGTCTTGACTGGGCGCTACTATTATGTTTTAAGCGAATGCTTTTGTTTGTTTAACGCCGCACTCAGCAATATTACAGCTATTTGACAGTGGTCTGTAAATAATCGAGTCTTGAGCAGACAATCCAGTGATTGATATCATGCGCATCGATCCACGCAATTGGGATCGATGACATGTATCAACCAAGTCAGCAAGCCTGAGCACCCGATCCCGTTAGTCGCCTCTTATGACAAGCATAGTCGCCTTTTACGGCAAGCATTGGTTGCTGAAGACCTATTCTACCCCAGATCTTCATGGGTCTGAAGTGAATGCAAGTGATATGAGAGGTGGAATCTGATTGGTCTATAGGAGGAACATTAAGCACATGGGGTGGTTTGGTAGCCTAGTGGTTAAAGCGTTCGCTCTTCACACCGAAGACCCGGGTTTGATTCACGACATGGGTACAATGTGAAGCTCATTTCTGGTGTCCCCCGCCGTGATATTGCTGGAATATTGCTTAAAGTGGCGTAAAACCATACTCACTCATTAAGCACATGTCTACGAAATTCACAGTTCGGGTTTTAAGAGTGTTTAAGTGCCTTACTATTATTCAATATTCTCCCAAACAGTAATAATGCCACAGATTATCCCTGACTAATTACTTTAAGAAGAATAGATATGGTCACAGTGATGACAATTATATACCCAGCTCGCTTAAAGTCCACAGGACGTTGAAGAGAGAAAACTCTGAGTGACCTTTCTTTTACAAATTACATGCAGTAAGTTTGACCAGAAAGAAAATGAGATGGCAAATTATAATATGATAAAATTTAAATTTGTGTAAACCATGCTAGTAGTATAGTCTAATTAATCCTAAGTCATTCAATCATTTATCATATCCCAATTGTGTAGATTGATACTCATGATATCAATCACTGGATTATCTGGTCCGAACTTGATTATTTACATGCTGAGGTCATATAGCTGGAATATTGCTGAGTGGCGTCAGACAACAACCACACTCGCACTCATGATTGTAAAACATTCATTAAGTCTTGTAAATGTTAATGCTTGAGAGGCACAAAGCCAGATTTAGAAATTGGTTCATTGGACAGAAATTACTATTATTCTCCCAAACAGTAATAATGCAACTAGTCGTCCCTGATTAATTACTTGAACAAGAATAGATATGGTCACAGTGATGACAATTATATACCCAGCTCGCTTAGAGTCTACAGGACGTTGAAGAGAGAAAATTCTGAGTGACCTTAATCTTACATGCAGTAAGTTTGACCAGAAAGAAAAGTGAGATTATAAGGTGATACAATTTAAATTTGTATGAACTAGAAATAGTCTATGAAACCATAGTCATTCAGCCATTCATCGTATCCCAATTGTGTGGATCGATGCTCATGATATCAGTCACTGGATTGTCTGGTTCAGACTCGATTATTTACAGACCGCCATCATATAGCTAGAATATTGCTGAGTGCGGCGTCAAACAAAGATAGTGATTGTAAAACTTCACTTGTTTCAATCTTGATGTTTGACAGACACAAAGCTAGATTTTATGATTATTTCGAAGGATGCAAATTATTATCATTCTCCCAAACAGTAATAATGCAACTAGTCGTCCCTGATTAATTACTTTAACAAGAATAGATATGGTCACAGTGATGACAATTATATACCCAGCTCGCTTAGAGTCCACAGGACGTTGAAGAGAGAAAACTCTGAGTGACCTTGAACAATGTATTAAAATTGCCTTTACAGGGTTAGAAATTAATTGACTTTAATACTGTAACCATGGTAACATTCCTATGAACTGAAGATGATGCTGTGTTACATTTTAAACTATGAATTTTGAAAAAATGATACTTTAACCAATTTGCAATGTGCGCTTAGTTTAGAATCGTAGATAAATCTGGTTGGATGAGATGGTAATGTGACGGTTCACCTTCTAGCGCCTCACAGGCAGCTTGGGTTATATACTCCCCAGTGAGCTGAGAATAAAAATCAAGCGAACAGTTTCATTGATGGGTGGGGTCAGGCCCGCTGACTTGGTTGATGCATGTCATCGTATCCCAATTGCGTGCATTGATGCTTACGATGTCAATCACTGGATTGGCTGGTCCGTACTCGATTATTTACAGACGGCCGTCATATAGCTGGAACATTGCTGAGTGCGGCGTTAAACAACAAACAAACAAACATTGATGGGTAATAATGTAGCTGGGTGTGCATTCACTTTTTAATTTTTTTTATTATTGTTATTATTATTATTATTCCCCACTGAAACTGACTCGAAGACTTAGCCACAAAGACAGGCACAGGTTCGAGTATGCTTCAGAGTTTTGCGACAGGCTGTTCTGGCGACTACATCTCTGTGCATGAATGGTGGAAGTGTATGGTGTTGTACTGGACAGTTGTTTGTAATATTCTCTACATCTGTCATTCTAGTCGAATGATGATGATTTTCAGAAGGGGAGACCACCCAAGGAGGCCAAGCAACCCCAGAAGAGGAAGTCGACAGCTGGAGGGGTGAGTTCATGGGGATTCTGGGTAGAATTGGTTGGTGACGTGTTTTGGTGCATGACATTGTAACCGAAGATGATTCCTGTTTAAACATTTCACCATCAAACTATGCTAATCTATTGAGACAATTGAGTGGCACGGGTGGCCCAGTTGTCTAAGGCGTTCAAACTCAGTTGAAACGTCAGTGAATTTTTTTTTTTTTCATAAGTTACAATCGCGGTGCAGAGTTGCGTCCCTTGGGCACACCAGGAATTTATGATTGTGGGTTTGCCCTAAATATGTTTCTAGGTTTGTCAGCACCATACCCGTGCTCGTGGGTTTCACCGAAGTGGTAAACGTCTAAGACCTGCATCACTTCGGGCTTTCCTCCCATATTAAGCTGACACACCGTGATATGACTGGAATAATGTTAAAAGTGACGTTAAAAACCCAGCTCATTCGCTCCCCGGGAAAAACCCAGCACCACCACAATTTCCACATTCACACAATCTCAACGTACACAATCCCACATTCACAAATTGTAGACGTACAATGGTGACCTCTTGGAAGTGATTTGACACACTGTTCCCCATGTTTATACCTGGTGTGTGTTGCAGGCCAAGGCGGGGTCGGCCAAGAAGGCCAGGCGTGTGTCGAGGTCAGTGTCCAAGGACTCCAAGGAAGAGGGGCGAGAGGAGGAAGACTTCGATGCCGGATCCTCCCCACCATCAGATAACTCGGATGATGAGGTGAGGGGATGTAAATCGGTCATTTGTCACGTGTGCTCACATCACAATGGCTGCACATGCTCGCTGGTGCTAACCTACCTCCAGATTGCTTGCTGAGGCGAAGTATTAGGGCAGTGTACCAGACTAATCCAACAAGTAGTAACCCGTGAAGATCCAGGGTAGAATAGGTCTTCAGCAACCCATGCTTGCCGTTAAAGGTAACTATACTTGTCGTAAGAGGTGACTAACAGGATCGGGTTGTCAGGCTCGCTGACTTGGTTGATGCATGTCATCGATCCCAATTACGTGGATGGATGCTCATGATGTCAATCACTGGATTGTCTGGTCCAAACTCGATTACTTACAGACCGCCGTCATATAGCTGGAATATTGCTGAGTGCGGCGTTAAACAACAAACCAACCCAAACCCCCAGCAAGTAGTTATGAAAACGGAGGTAATTATTAGGGCTGTGACGACACACCAAGAGTGTGATCCGTTACGATACCATACCTTGCTCATGATCCAATACATCACGATACATGTATCTGCTCATATCTGTAGTGTGTAACAATGTTTTTCATAGACAGGATATTCAAATACATGGCACACTGGTGATTTACAGTTGGCAGTGTCAAGTATGGCATAATGGATGAAAATATTTACTTTCACTACTAATTTTCACTACTAATTAGTGTTTGGTGTAACATTTATTAAAAATACATTTAAGGTAAGAATCGATACTTTTAACTCAGTGTGCAACTGTGATCGATACTTGTATTGGGAAGTGAAATATCGCGATCCACTGATGCATCAGTGTGTCATCCCACCACTAGCAATTATACATTATTTTCGAAACACTGCATCTGCTGCCGTCTTTTTTACTTTCCCGAGGGCAACTAAATCATGTGTTTCACCGGCCCGGCACTTTATTGTCACGAATCGGACACACTTATTGAACTTCCCTGCTTAGGGTTAGAAAGTTAACAGCAACTTAATAATAAGTGACAGAATGTGATAATCTGGAGCCTGCTTCCTGTTACATGTCATATTGCCCCAAAACTGGTCATCACCTTCAGCAACTGGGGGTCTGACTTGGTTGATGCATGTCATCGTATACCAATTGAGTGACCTCAACCTTTAACCATAATCAAATTTCATTTCTGTCACTAAACTTTGTTCTGAGGACTAGGGCTGGCTATCGATACAGATCATAGATATCGATAATCATAAACTAACTAACTATCGCTAAATATTGGAGAAGTAAATACAGACAAAAAAATCCTGGTGAGTGGCGAGTCTGATTTGGTAAATCTAAACTTTATTTCATCACGATAGTTTATGTAAGGTATAATTGATGACACTAATTTCATATCGATAAGACCCGTGAAGATCCGGGGTAGAATAGGTCTTCAGCAACCCATGCTTGCCTTAAAAGGCGACTAACGGGATCGGGTGGTCAGGCTCGCTGACTTGGTTGATGCATGTCATCGTATCCCAAATTGCGTGGATCGATGCTCATGATGTCAGTCACTGGATTGTCTAGACCAGGCTCGATTATTTACGGACCGTCGTCATATAGCTGGAAAATTGCCGAGTGCGGCGTTAAACAAAAAAACAAAAAAAAACCAAACCCCCAGCAAGTATTTATGAAAAAGGAGGTAATTATTAGGTCTGTGACGACACACCAAGTGTGTGATCTTATACGATACCATACCATACCTTGCTCATGATCCAATACATCTGTAGTGTGTAACAATGTTTTTCATAGACAGGGTATTCAAATACTTGGCACACTGGTGATTTACAGTTGGCAGTGTCAAGTATTGCACAATGGATGAAAATATTTACTTTCACTACTAATTTTCACTACAAGTTAGTGTTTGGTGTAACATTTATTAAAAATACATTTAAGTTAAGAATAGATACTTTTACCTTAGTGTGCAACTGTGATCGATACTTGTATTGGGAAGTGAAATATCGCGATCCACTGATGCATCGGCGGGGGGGGGGAGGGGTCAGACTCGCCAACTTGGTTGATGCATGTCATCATATACCAATTAAGTGCTCATGCCAATCACTGGATTGTCTGGTCCCGACTCAAAACAAGCAAACAAACATCCCAGCATGTTATGTTTTGACAGGAGGGGGGGGGGGGGGGTTGGTCACAGTGATGTCAAGTATAGCTCAACCGCTTCGAGTCCACAGGACTTTGAAGAGAAAAAAATCTGAGTGACCTCAACCTTTAACCATAATCAAATTTCATTTCTGTCACTAAACTAGGGACTAGGGCTGGCTTTCGATACAGATCATAGATATCGATAATCGTAAACTTACTAAATATCGATCAATTATCGATAAATATGGCGAGTCTGATTTGGTAAATCTAAACTTTATTTCATCACGATAGTTTATGTAAGGTATAATCGATGACACAAATTTCATATCGATAAGACCCGTGAAGATCCGGGGTAGAATAGGTCTTCAGCAACCCATGCTTGCTGTAAAAGGCGACTATACTTGTTGTAAGAGGCAACTAACCGGATCGGGTGGTCAGGCTCGCTGACTTGGTTGATGCATGTCATCGATCCCAATTGCGTGGGTCGATGCTCATGATGTTAATCACTGGATTGTCTGGTCCAAACTCGATTATTTACAGACCGCCGTCATATAGCTGGAATATTGCTGAGTGCGGCGTTAAACAACCAACCAACCCAAACCCCAAGCAAGTAGTTATGAAATTAGTAATTATTAGGGCTGTGACGACACACCAAGTGTGTGATCCCATACGATACCATACCTTGCTCACGATCCAACACATCACGATACCTGTATCTGCTCATATCTGTAGTGTGTAACTATGTTTTTCATAGACAGGATATTCACACTGGTGATTTACAGTTGGCAGTGTCAAGTATGGCACAATGGATGAAAATATTTACTTTCACTTCTAGTTAGTGTTTGGTGTAACATTTATTAAAAATACATTTAAGGTAAGAATTGATACTTTTAACTTTTTAACTTTTAGTGTGCAACTGTGATCGATACTTGTATTGGGAAGTGAAATATTGTGATCCACCGATACATCTGGGGGGGTGGGGGGGGAGGGGTCAGGCTCGCCCACTTGGTTGATGCATGTCATCGTATACCGTATTTTCTTGAGTATAGTGCGCACCCATGTATAATGCGCACCCCCCTCTAGCGGGTTCAATATTTTGGAAAAAAAGAAATTTGAATATTATGCGCAGAAAATTTTTACACCGTACCCTTTCAGCGAAGTCCGGCAAACGAACGGGTGCTGAGAAACTTCGTCAGTACAAATTCGAAATTTGAGATAAAAAACCACCAGACATGTTTATTTACCGTTTAAATAGTATTTATTGTTCTGCTAGGCATTGTTTTATATTTAGGGATTAAGATTACCTTGCGTATTTTCTCGTAAACTAAGCTGGAAACAGCAATCAGCTGTACACACGTTTTCTTGGAATCGACCGGTGATTCGGTCAAGACACACCCAATAATATAACTTTATAAGATTTTTAATGCAAGGATCGGCGACAATTGTATCTGAAACTATTTTATTTATCAGGAATAATATATTCCATTATTTTCTTAATTATATGCAACCTTTACTAAACATATTTAAAATAATAATAACCCTAAGCGAAGCAGCTGATCGCTATTGCCGGGTATTATTTTTTACATGGAACATGTCTGACCAGTCACCGTCAAGGCTCACGCGCACGTGATCGCGCGATCGCGAGAATTTCATGTTGACATAGAATCGTCAAACAAAAACAAATATGACTTTTAACGAGTCAAAGTATGTCATTTATGATACTTGTATCGATTCTCTGTCAACTAAAGTTTGTTTCAAGGCGTCAATAGCGGTATTCTGACCGTGGTTGCTGTTAATAACGGTGAGTTGTGCGATCTTCCGATCGCTTCACACACGATTTCGCCGAAATTAATAAAAACAATATTATAAGGAATTTTGAATAAAATCAATGAAATAAGTTACAAACATAAGTCCAGATATACAAAGAACACTTTTTATAGCCAGACAGTGTAATTATATGATTATTTTGCGTACTTCAGTATGGATTTGTTGACATGGTATTCCCGGTGTTTCATGCTCACGGTAATGTCTTTCCATGGGGGAAAAAAACATCCAAACTCATAATTCGTGTATAATGCGCACCCCCTTCCACACAGCTGTGTTTTTTGGAAAAAAAGTGCGCACTATACTCAAGAAAATACGGTACCAATTGAGTGCTCATGCCAATCACTGGATTGTCTAGTCCTGACTCAAAACAAGCAAACAAACATCCCAGCATGTTATGTTTTGACAGGAGGGGGGTTGGTCACAGTGATGTCAAGTATAGCCCAACCACGTCGAGTCCACAGGAAAAAATCTGAGTGACCTCAACCTTTAACCATAATCAAATTTCATTTCTGTCACTAAACTTTGTTCTGAGGACTAGGGCTGGCTATTGATACAGATGATAGATATCGATAATCGTAAACGAACTAAATTTCGATCAATTATCGATAAATATTGGAGAAGTAAATACAGACAAAAAAATCCTGAAGAAATCAACATATTTCACTCCACTGGTGAGTGGCGAGTCTGATTTGGTAAATCTAAACTTTATTTCTTCATCACGATAGTTTATGTAAGGTTTAATCGATGACACACATTTCATATTGATAAGACCCATGAAGATCCGGGGTAGAATAGGTCTTCAGCAACCCATGCTTGCCGTAAAAGGCGACTATACTTGTCGTAAAAGGCGACTAACGGGATCGCGTGGTCAGGCTCGCTGACTTGGTTGATGCATGTCATCGTATCCCAATTGCGTGGGTCGATGCTCATGATGTCAATCACAAAGCCTTGAATTTTCAGGTCCCTCTTGAAAAACCTTGAATTTTCAGGTCCCTCTTGAAAAACCTTGAATTTTCAGATCAACTTGGAAAAGCCTTGAATTTTCAGGTCGACCTTGAAAAAACTTGAAAGTCACCAAAATAGCTTGAAAAGCCTTGAATTTCTACAAAAAACTTTTAATAAGAGTATTAAAACCAACAAAACTGACAGTTCATGTACCAAGGATGTTTAAGTGTGATTTACCCATGTGATAGATTTGACACTTTGCCAAATACAATTCATGACAGACTTCAATTTATTTATTTGTTGGTTGTGAAAATCAATCTTGTTTGAAAATTTGTGATGTTCATACTGCTTTTTAGGTCTTATGACAATGGTACGATATGGTCTTACGACTTGTGTACACTGTACAGTATGCTGGATGTATAAAAATATTGACAGACTGAATCTAATGACCCAATGTGAAATGGCCTTTGTCTGTATGTTGTATTGCCTAGTTATTAATATTCATTTTTTGTTTGTTTCATGACTTTTGAACTACGCTTTGAAAACAAAGTTAACTTATGTAAGGAATTCAAGAAAACGTGGGAAATAAATAAATGAATAGATAGATGAATGTTTTTCTGTCAGGACCATGGTCACAGTGATGACAATTATAATCCCAGCTCGCTTGGAGTCCACAGGACGTTGAAGAGAGAAAACTCAGAGTGGCCTCAACCATGTGAAAGTATTTATTTAAAAAACCCAATCGGCCGCCTCCGTGGTCTTGTGGTAGAGCATCCGCCCGGAGAGCGGGGGGTCCGGTGTTCAGTCCCCGGCCGCGTCATACCAAAAGATGTTAAAAGATGGTACTTGTTGTTACCCTGTCTAGGGCTCGGCATAAAGGGGCTAAAACAAGGACTGGTCGGCTCGGAATCAGTATACTGTCAGTACTGAGCTGTATATTGTAGGGGGCACGGGTGGCCCAGTCGTCTAAGGCGCCGCGATTCGCTGTGCAGAGTTGCGTCCCTTAGGCACGCCAGAAACCTATGATTGTGGGTTCGAATCCCGGTTCGCCCCGATTATGTTTCTAGGTTTGTCAGCACCATACCCGTGCTCGTGGGTTTCACCGAAGTGGTAAACGTCTGAGACCTGCATCACTTCGGGCTTTCCTCCCACACTAAGCTGACACGCCGCGATATAACTGGAATACTGTTAAAGCGGCGTTAAACCCAACTCACTCACTCACTCACTGTATATTGTATATCTGGACCAGACGATCCTGTGGTCAATATTGTGAGCAACGGTCCATGCTGGCGAGATACATTAAAAAATCGACGAAAATATATTGAAATGGGGTCTGTAAATAATCGAGTATGGACAAGACAACCCTGTGATTGATATCATGAGCATTGATCCACGCAATTGGGATCGATGACATGCATCAACAAAGTCAGAGAGCCTGACCACCCGATCCCATAAGTCGCCTCTAAAGACAAGCATAGTCACCTTTTACGGCAAGCATGGGTTGCTGAAGACCTATTCTACATGTTCTACCCCAGAACTTCACGGGTCTTGTTTCATGTGAAGCAAATATTTATTGATGGGCCTATCAAGTTCACACCGGCACACATGAACAAAAAAAAGAAAATATGGTCACAGTGATGACAATTATATACCCAGCTCGCTTAGAGTCCACAGGACGTTGAAGAGAGAAAATTCTGAGTGACCTTAAACTTGAATCTAATCATATTGTTTTTAACATTTTATTGTTTTATTGGTTCATTATCAAACAGTCTTGAATGAAATCATTCAATCAGTAGCTTTGTCACCTGCTTTGGTCCCAGAATTGTACGATGGAGGAGACAACCCAATACTGAGTAAAATATATTCAATACCCAAAGAAAACTGAATACCTAATGTGAATAACAGCAAGTATGATTCTCTATGCCACTGTCAAGATCAGGGTTAGAATAGGTCTTCAGAAACCCATGCTTGTCGTGAGAGGCGACTAACGGGATCGGGTGGTCAGGCTTGGCATTGCCGGATGACTTGATTGATGAAGGGCGGTTGAGTAGCCTAGGGGTTAAAGCGTTCGCTCGTCACGCCGAAGACCCGGGTTCGATTCCCGACAAGGGTACATTGTGTGAAGCCCATTTCTGGTGTCCCCCGCGTGATATTGCTGGAATATTGCAAAAAATGGCGTAAAACCACACACACTCACTCACTTGATTGATGCTTGCCATTGTGTCCTTATTGCGTGGTTCGATGCTCATGATATCAATCACTGGATTGTCTGGTCCAGACTCAATTATTTACAGACCGCCGTCATATAGCTGGAATATTGCTGAGTGCAGCGTCAAACAACTAACCAACAACCAACCAACCTAATTGCGTAGAAAGATACTCGTGATGCCAATGACTGATAGTCAGCACTCTGGTCCAAATCTGCAAATACGTCACAGTGATGACAATTATAATCCCAGCTCGCTTAGAGTCCACAGGACGTTGAAGAGAGAAAACTCTGAGTGACCTTTATTTTACATGCAAGTTTGACCAGAAGGAAATGAGATGGCAAATTATGAAGGGACACAATATAAATTATTGTGGACTATGCTGGAAATACTGTCTTTGATCCTCAGTCATTCAGTATCCCAATTGTGTGGATCAGGACGTTGAAGAAGTCTAATTAATCCTAAGTCATTCAGCAATTCATCGTATCCCAATTGTGTGGATCAATGCTCATGATAGCAATCAGTGGGTTGTCTGGTCCAGACTCGATTATTTACAGGCTGCTGTCATATAGCTGAAATATTGCTGAGTTCGGCAATGAACAACCACATACTCGTGATTTTAAAATGTTGTAGTTCGACTGGCTCAAAGCTATAGTTTCAGTGGATATTGGTTGTAGCGGGAGGTTATTGGTTGCAGGAGGGGAATATTTATTGTAGGAGGGGAATATTGGTTGTCAGAGGGGGATATTGGTTGTTGTGGGGGGATATTGGTTGTAGTGGGAGGATATTGGTTGTTGTGGGGGGATATTGGTTGTAGTGGGAGGATATTGGTTGCAGTGGGGGGAATATTGGTTGTGGCTTGAGGATATTGGTTGTCGTGGGAGGATATCGGTTGTGGCTGGAGGATATCGGTTGTGGCTGGAGGATATTGGTTGTGGCTGGAGGATATTGGTTGTGGGTGGGGATATTGGGTGTGGCTGGAGGATATTGGTTGTAGTGGGAGGATATTGGTTGTCGTGGGGTATATCGGTTGTAGCGGGAGGATATCAGTTGTAGCGGGAGGATATTGGTTGTAGCAGGAAGGAATCTAGAGCTACTGTTACTTACTGGAATATTCATGTTGCAGGACTTTGCGGAAGAGAAGAAAGTCAAAGGGAAACGAGGAAGGCCATCCACCGGCGCTGGGCGGGGGAGGAGGAAGTCAAAGGCTGCATCGGACAGCGAGAGCGGCGACAACGATGAAGACGAGGAGGCGGAGGAGGATGCAGCGGAGGAGGAGGAAGAGAAACCCAAGGCAAAGGCTAAAGCTAAACCCAAGAAAGAAACCCCCAAACCTGCTGCCAAGAAGGCTGCCCCCAAGAAAGGTAGTCATTTAATCTCCCTGGTTGTAACTGGAAGTACTGTGTTGTAGTTGGATGAAATTGTAGCTGAAGGGAGTTGGCTGGAGCCAGGAGGAAATGGTTGTAATTGATAGGAATTGGTTGTAGCTGATGGGAATTGGTTGTAGCTGATGGGAATTGGTTGTAGCTGATGGGAATTGGTTGTAAATGATGGGAATTGGTTGTAAATGATGGGAATTGGTTGTAAATGATAGTCCTGAATTGGTTGTAGCTGATGGGAATTGGTTGTAGCTGATGGGAATTGGTTGTAGCTGATGGGAATTGGCTTGAGTCAGCGTAAAATGGTTGTAATTGATAGGAATTGGTTGTAGCTGATGGGAATTGGTTGTAGCTGATGGGAATTGGTTGTAGCTGATGGGAATTGGTTGTAAATGATGGGAATTGGTTGTAAATGATAGTCCTGAATTGGTTGTAGCTGATGGGAATTGGCTTGAGTCAGCGTAAAATGGTTGTAATTGATAGGAATTGGTTGTAATTGATAGGAATTGGTTGTAGCTGATGGGAATTGGTTGCAGCTGATGGGAATTGGTTGCAGCTGATGGGAATTGGTTGTAGCTGATGGGAATTGGTTGTAGCTGATGGGAATTGGTTGTAAATGATAGGAATTGGTTGTAGCTGATGAGAATTGGTTGTGGCCAGAGAGAATTGGTTGTAATTAATAGGCATTGGTTGTAATTGATTGTAATTGGTTGTAATTGGTTGTAATTGATTGTAATTGATTGTAATTGGTTGTAATTGGTTGTAATTGATAGGAATTGGTTATAGCTGAAGGGAATGTGTTGTAGTCGGAGAGACTTGGTTGTAGCCCATTGGCTGTGAAATGCTGTTGAAAACAGCATGAAACCAAACTCACTCACTCACTCACTCAGAATGCAGGTCAGTCGCAGCATGTTGTTCCCACCCTCATGCTACTGACAATACTATTTGGTTATGTTTGGAGTGGAGTGAAGCTGTTTGTTTCAATATGGAGAGCAAATCCTGAATAATATTTAGCAATAGATATAACGAAGTCCTGAACCCAGAAAATATTGTGAGCTGAGAGACAAATGGAGGCACACAAGATTAATCCTGACTTGACTCGATTGAAGGAATTTGATTTGACTTACACCGGATGCATTTGAAAGTAAACCAAGTTGCACTAAAGAAAAATGGGTTGCACCCTGGTCCCCTAAACTGACCAGTTGTACCATGGTCCCCTAAACTGACCAGTTGTACCATGGGCCACTAAACTGACCAGTTGTACCCTGGTCCCCTAAACTGACCAGTTGCACCCTGGTCCCCTAAACTGACCAGTTGTACCCTGGTCCCCTAAACTGACCAGTTGTACCATGGTCCCCTAAACTGACCAGTTGTACCCTGATCCCCTAAACTGACCAGTTGTACCCTGGTCCCCTAAACTGACCAGTTGTACCATGGTCCCCTAAACTGACCAGTTGTACCCTGGTCCCCTAAACTGACCAGTTGTACCCTGGTCCCCTAAACTGACCAGTTGTACCCTGATCCCCTAAACTGACCAGCTGTACCCTGGTCCCCTAAACTGACCAGTTGTACCATGGTCCCCTAAACTGACCAGTTGTACCATGGTCCCCTAAACTGACCAGTTGTACCCTGGTCCCCTAAACTGACCAGCTGTACCCTGGTCCCCTAAACTGACCAGCTGTACCCTGGTCCCCTAAACTGACCAGTTGTACCCTGGTCCCCTAAACTGACCAGCTGTACCCTGGTCCCCTAAACTGACCAGCTGTACCCTGGTCCCCTAAACTGACCAGTTGTACCATGGGCCACTAAACTGACCAGTTGTACCCTGATCCCCTAAACTGACCAGCTGTACCCTGGTCCCCTAAACTGACCAGTTGTACCCTGGTCCCCTAAACTGACCAGTTGTACCATGGTCCCCTAAACTGACCAGTTGTACCATGGGCCACTACTACCAGTGTAACATGTTAATGATGCGTTGCTGTAAAAGGTAATAAGAACACAGGCCTCAAAGTTGCGACTAAAACGGTCACCAATGCGACCAAATATTCAATTTGTCTTCTGTCTAAAATTTGTATGTAGCCAAATGACTACCTTGAAAATATCTTGTGGCGACTAAATTCTATTGCTACACATATTGAGACACAAAAATAAATAAAAGCTGATCTTAGAAAACACGTCTGCTAATAATTGTACTCGCAAATTCCTTCTAAAGTCGACAATGAACCAAAATACGTAAATATTAATGTAATTAGTACATACCTATATAATCTAGTAACATAAATTATATCATTGCTCGAGTCACAAATACAAAAAATTAAGTACAGTTTCCACTAGTAATCAATTCCAAGACTAGTGCTATGACTTGTACATAAATTATTAATATGATAGTTATTTGATTAAAGATAATTTCAAATGCTTTTGGCTACCTACAATATTGGCTTGACCTCTTAATTTTACCACTGGCTACCTGGAAAAAAATACTTGTAGACATATGGCCACCTGGTAAAAACTTTGAGGCCTGGGAACATGGGCACATTATCTTAACACATAGAAGGCTTGACACATAACATGTAACCCGGGAATTAGTGATCTAATATGGTATCTATGCTTTAGAAGTATTGAGTGTGTTCAAAGATCAACTTTGTTTGGACAAGGTAGGGTTAGTCAGACACAAATTTGTCATTTTTTTACTTGCACTTTGTGCATGTTGACATAAATAATAGTTGCAATTGTAGCGGCCATAATATTTCCGAGTCCCGTGATGCGATTCGAACCACAGACCTTCTGGTCCGAGGTCGGACGCCTTGTCCACATGACCAAAGAGGTTAACCCCGTCAGCAAGCTGACAAGGTAAGGATGTCATCTGTGGGATGACTCCACGCCCTGCTACATACTCCCCCGTCAACAGAAGGCACGTCCCGGGCCGCATAGTAGGGTACTGAGGCTTATTTTGCTCAAATTTAATGTGAACGTGCTCAGCCCCACGTTGCGCGCCAATGTAGTGGCCATAAAAATTCCGAGTCCCGTGATGGGATTCGAACCACAGACCTTCTGGTCCGAGGTTGGACGCCTTGTCCACATGACCAAAGAGGTTAACCCCATCAGCAAGCTGACAAGGTAAGGATGTCATCTGTGGGATGACTCCACGCCCTGCTACATACTCCCCGGTCAACAGAAGGCACGTCCCGGGCCGCATAGTAGGGTACTGAGGCTTATATTGCTCAAATTTAATGTGAACGTGCTCAGCCCCACGTTGGGCGCCAATGTAGTGGCCATAAAAATTCCAAGTCCCGTGATGGGATTCGAACCAAGGACCTTCTGGTCCGAGGTTGGACGCCTTGTCCACATGACCAAAGAGGTTAACCCCGTCAGCAAGCTGACAAGTTAAGGATGTCATCTGTGGGATGACTCCACGCCCTGCTACACATTTTTCAATAAAAGATTGCATTTGTGCATGTTATATATATTATATCTAGCTAAATTGAGCCCAGCTAGATATAGTTCTTCATGTAGCAGACAAAATGCTATCTTGTCCAAGTTTCAAATTAACGATACATGGTCGCCGTGATGACAGTTATAATCCCAGCTCGCTTGGAGTCCAAAGGACGTTGAAGAGAGAAAACTCTGAGTGACCTCTATCTTATAGTCAGTATGTTTGACCAGAAGAAACAGTGACAGCAAATTTAAGTTTATCTAGTTCTTATTATTTCCAAAGGCCAGGTCCCAAGTCTTAAACTACGAGTTCAAGGCTAAAAATGGGAGCTGCCATCGTCATAATGGTATTAGTGAATATCTAGCATTCCAGGGGCGGTCGGGTAGCCTAGTGGTTAAAGCGTTCGCTCGTCACGCCGAAGACCCGGGTTTGATTCCCGACATGGGTACAATGTGTGAAGCCCATTCCTAGTGTCCCCCAGCATGATATTGCTGGAATATTGCTAAAAGCGACGTAAAACCATATTCACTCTAGGATTCCAAGGGGTTGTAGGGTGGCCTAGTGGTTAAAGCGTTTACTCGCCATGCCGCGGGCCTGGGTTTGATTCCCGACATGGGTACAATGTGTGAAGCCCATTTCTGGTGTCCCCCAGGTGATATTGCTGGAATATTGCTAAAAGCGGCTGAAACCATACTCACTCACTCTAGGATTCCAAAGTGCCCATGGCAGACAAATTGGGAAGACCACATTTCTTTTTCCGATTTGGGATGTTCTTAAAAGTTCACTTCTTTTTAATATTCTGGGTATGTTAATATTTCGTTCAGTTCAAAAGTGTGAAAGTAAATATTGAAAAATGGTCTTGTTAAATCCAGTTTTTGAATTATACCGATGTGTCGGCCTGGAAGCAGGCCTAGATAAGTCTCAGGGTAATGTTTTTTGGGTGAACGGCATCTATGTCGGTGAGGATGGAAGTGTAACAGTGTTGATTTGGGGGCACGGGTGGTCCAGTCGTCTGATTCGCTGAGCTGTGCACACCAAAAACTTATTGTGGGTTCGAATCCTGGTTAGCTGATTATGTTTCTAGGTTTGTCAGCACCATATCCCTGCTCGTGGGTTTCACCAAAGTGGTAAACGTCCAAGACATGCATCACTTCGGGCTTTCCTCCCACATTCAGCTCACAGGCTGTGATATAACTGTAATACTGTTCAAAGCGGTGCTTAAGTCCAACCCAACTCTTTCATTCCAATAGTACCCGTGAAGATTCCGGGGTAGAATAGGTCTTCAGCAACCCATGCTTTCCGTAAAAGGTGACTATGCTTGTCGTAAAAGGCCACTAACGGGATTGGGTGGTCAGGCTCGCTGACTTGGTTGATGCATGTCGTCGGTCCCGATTGCGTGGATCAATGCTCATGATATCAATCACTGGATTGTCTGGTCCAGACTTGATTATTTACAGACCTCCGTCATATAGCCGGAATATTGCTGAGTGCGGCGTTAAAACAACAAACCAAAACCGAACCTAACAATCACTCCACACGTTGTGAAATAACT